TAATTAATTAAAGTTAAATAACGCATTTTAGATTTAATTTCGTAATTTTTTCGTTAACATTTTAGTGTTTTTTTTATAAAAACGAGTTAAATTAAAAGGAAATTTCAACAATAATGTATTTTTAGTTCTAATTCTGTAATTTTCCACTTTGTTTTGACACATCCTTTTAAATTTATTGAGTTTTTTGCTGAAAAATGCTCTCACGCTATTGAAATAATCTAAATTAACGTATTTCAAACTTTATCTAGCTTAATTTTTGAAAAATCTGTCAATTATTTACAGTTTCTCTTGCTGAAAAACTCAGTAATTTTATTGAATTAAAAAAAAAATATGCATTTTAGAATTAATTTAATCAAAAATGATTTATTTCAGTCTTAATTTAGCGATTTTTTGGGTTGTTTTGACAAAATTTTTAGGATTTAGTGAGTTTTCAGTAAAAATGCTCTAAATTCAGAAAAACTTGCAAAAATATCGCATTTAAAATTTAATTTTGTCATGTTTTGCTTTGTTTCGTTAACATTTTAGTGTTTTTTGGTAAAAACAAGTTGAATTCAAAGAACATTTTACAAGAATGCATTTTCAGTTCTAATTCTGTAATTTTTTTTTAACATAATCTTTTAAATTTAACAAATTTTTTGCTGAAAAATGCTCTTGAAATAATATAAAATAACATATTTTAGTTTTAGTTTGACCAAAATCTATCAAATTTTATGAGGTTCTTGAAGATGAGACAGTGCTAGCGCAAAGCGCCACCTGTCGGTGTGTGGAGAATCCAGAATCCAGGTTCTTGTTGAAAAATTCACTAAACTTCATAAAAAATAACTATTTTCGTTCTAATGTAGCAATTTTCTGCTTTGTTTTAGCAGAATATTTCGAATTTAGTAAAGTTTCTCAGTAAAAAATGCCCTAAATCCATCAAAACTAACGCATTTGAGATTTAATTTCATATTTTTTGCTATGTTTTATTAACATTGACAACAATATATTTTATGTATACAGGGTGCTTCATAGCAGCTCCCCTTTTCTGTAGCTTACTGTCGTATCAACAAGAAATTACTCCCTAGGATTTAGGGATATTCGTGAATAGGTTGAAATAAATTTGGTTAGGTTGGTTTTGGTGACAAACACAAGATATCGTAATTCGTGTCAAAATTTAGGTTAAGTTACCTGTCAGCTTGTATGGATAATTAATTGATAGTTGACACAGGTCGACAGAAAACGTCAACCGTCAGCAACAAGGGGTAACCAACCTTAGACATTCAAAGTTACTTCTGAAAATTCTAGTTACAAACAACATGAAAAACGTAATTTTCCTAAAAGTTCACATCCTAGCTGCTAATTTCTTGTTGACAAGTCTGTAGCTATTACTCAACTTGAAATTTTGATATTCTGTAGACATTATTTATATTTTAGGACGCCTTTTAGGAAAATATTTTTCATTACACAGGTTGTTCTAAAAAAACCTGACGTTATAATAATACATTTTTTTAGATGGCATGCTATTATTTTTTGTGCTCATTAGAATGCCTTTTTAGTTATTTACATACCCCTTTTTTTAATCGGGTCATTCAGGCATTTCCGTAATAAAAATAAAAACCAAAAAAAAATTGGTTTTAGATAAATATTATTATTAAAACTTTCAAAACTTCTAATGTGTAACCAGAACAGCCTGTATATCGAAATTATAAAAAAAATAATAATATGTCGTCAAAAAAATATTTTCAAACTTTCTAGAAAATGAAATATTTAAATATCAATTACTAATCAATTTTTACCAATATTTTCTCCCAGTGAAAAATATAATATTAATAACAATAATTAATCAAAATTTCGTGGTGTTTCGAGGTTTGTAAGATTATTGATCGGTCGCGCCCTCTCTACCACTCCTCCTATACTAGAATCGCCGCAGAAATACCTAGATGGAAGCACTAATAAGAAACAATCGACTTACCCATATATCGGCTTTAGGTCCATCATATTTATGGCCTTGAAATAGTTCAGGAGCTGCATAAGGTGGCGATCCACACCACGTTGACAAAAGACAGCCCTCTGTGAACTGATTACTGAAGCCGAAATCGGCAAGCTATAAATTTTCATTTTAATTTTTCATCAACTTCAGTTAATTATTATCAAACCTTGATGTTTAAATTATGGTCCAACAATAAGTTTTCAGCCTTTAAATCTCTATGAACTACCCCCTGAGAATGACAGTAGCTTACGGCCGAAACGATTTGACTAAATATCCGTTTGGCTTCGTCTTCAGGCATTCGGCCTTTCGCCACCAAGTGATCTGAAACAAAAATTATCAGTACAAAATTGCAACTTTGAAAAATCAGATTACCAAAAATTTCCCCGTTACTGGCATACTCTGTGACCATGTAAATGGTCTGATTCGTTTCCATAAGCTGATACAGCCTGGTAATGTGTGGATGTCTTAGTTTTTTCAGAATGGCAGTCTCTCGAAATATTTTTGTTAAGTTTTCTTCATCTAATGCAGTCTTATCTATTATTTTAATGGCCACCTGAAACAACGCCATCTTTAGTAAAGCGTCGAAATGAGGGACATACACATGACGGTGATTTCAATTGTTTGATTGGCTTTAATTCGCAGAATTGACCTAGCGCGGTTAAATTAACATTTCTGGTGTCGTAAAGAGATGATGTGAACATTATGCAATTATTTATTTTAGAAATCATGAATCGGATTTTAGAGAAGCTGATTGTGATTAGATAAATTCAGTGATTGTTTAAACACTCGAACAAAGTCGATAAAAGAATAATAAAAACTGCTGTTTAAAATTATAAAAATTTTAACAAGCTACTTTCAATAAAATATTATGTACCTATCCAATATCTTTATAATAAACACAAAACGAAATTTATAGTAAACAGTTCAATAACAATAGAAAAGAACAACAAAAACTTCTTAACTAATCAATAAAAGATATCATAAGATAAAAACCATAACACTATCTTACTTAAAAAATTGTACTCAAATTATAAAAACAATAATAACCCAACATGTGAAAAACTATAGCCTATTTGCATAGTTGTTAATTCGTAATTATTCCACTTTATACATGAGTCCCCGGATAGGTGAAACGACTCAACTTGTAAATGATAAAAAAAGTCGATTCAATTTTTCTTTTTTTTGAGATCCAGCCCTGCTTAATTAAAGACTAATTTCTAACATAATTTTAATTTATTTGTTTTGAAAAATCAAGTATGCTTTAGAAATTTTCAAAGTTATTTTACAGTAGAGAAAAATACCTTTTATGTAGAAAATACGACAAGAACTTATTAAAAAAAGTTGTTCAAAATCAACATCTAGGCCTCTATACCAATTTCAAAATTATCAGCCAACTATGATTTTTAATTTTTTTATGTTTATTTCACAAATCAAAGAATTATATTTTTAAAATCACCCAGTACAAAATATCCTTAGAACTGGTTTAGAGAACAAATAGTTGCAATGAAATATTAATACGCGATTAATTTGACGTTTAACAATACAACATAAATGACAACTTAATTCGAATTATGTAGTTTCATTTTAAATTAAATTTTAATTCGTTTTCTATAATAAATCGACACTAAATGTTTTTTTATTAATAATAATGAGCACTACCAATGCTATCAGTTTATTCCATTATTTTTTCATGATAATGTCTGAAAAATGATTTGAATAACTAGAAAAGCGGATTTCACACAGCTTCCAATTTTTTATCTAGATAAAAAAAAACAAAAACGTTGACTCCAATTAAAGTTTTAATAAACAAAATCACAAAAAATGTACACTAGATAAAGTATTAAAAAAGATAAGATACACAATACAAAATGATAAATAAAGCTTCAACACTTAAACCCGACCAGCAACAATAAAAAACTAAACAAAAACCAATCTAATCCATGAAGTTCAAGATCAAATAAATTTTTAATTCAGGTTAACCACCGATTCCTGTGTTACCAAACCAAACAGTCGAAACATTAATTAAATTCAGAAAATTCTTATCAATTCACTGATTCCAAACGTTGTATTGTTCCTCCTGATAAGAAAACAAACCAGTGTCATGTGATAAAAACCCGTTACTTTCCAACTTCTCATTGTGTGAATTTCACACGCTGATTGTTTCGAATTTGGAAAAATCCCAATGTCCTTGAACCCCACCGTTATCACTAATGCAATAATATTTACACGTGATAAAAAATCGGTTTATTATCACTTTAATATTATGATATAACCAGTTCGATACCGGTTCCTCTTTCGATCCACCAATAAAAATAAAATTTGTTTTTGGCTGTGCGAAATTCGACGGTGTGTCACTCGTCGGTTTCTTTGATCTCAAAAACCACTTTGATGAATAAGATATACTGCAATAACAAACGACGAATTAATTCGTCGATTGATACAGGTCGATTCCACTCGAAAATCGATCCGTTTAATTGGAGGCAATTAGATTGGCGGTGCTGAAACCATTATATCGGTTAAAAAGCCGAGGAAATGCTCATGACCGACAGTGGCGTAGCGAGTGATTTTTTACGATTTGTAGTTGTGATAAAGATAGCATTGTTGTGACGGTGACATGGAGATAAGAACCGACGAAAAAACCTTTAATAAATTGTACAGGGCTATTATAAATGATTCTAACTCGGAGTACAATAAAAAACAAAGGAAAATTTGCCGCCTTAACCTTAAGAATGACATAAGTAATCTTGTCAAAATTCGTAAGTAGGTGGTTACAAATGCAAAATATTACCTAAACTGACACTGTCAATTAACAGGGACAGTTGTGTATAAAGCGGCAAATGAAAATAAAATGATCAAGAATTTCAAAGACTACTGGATGTTAGAATCACATTTATAATAATATAAAAATGAACAGTAAGTTAGATAATTAGATTATCATTTGAACTAAAACAAACTTCTTTAAATTGCGTATATCTGGTGACACTGGCAACGTCGCAACTGCGTTTTTTGAGGTGAAATATGTCAGAAATATTTGATTTCTTTGTAAAAGAGGAATCTATGTTACCACTGAACCCTACTGTCAAATTTTAAGTCAGGTTCCGCTATTTTATACGGAAAAAACATTGTTAAAAGTAACAGATATGGCACGAGATATACCATGTCTTCTGATCAAAGTGACCTGATACTCAAATTAAATTGACAAGATACAGTAAAATACCTACATAATTATGTAGAAACAAAAGATACGAAAACTGACTTGATTCTCATCTTCAGTTTCTAGATCATGAGCCACTTTGATTACAAATTAATTGTTGAGGATATAATTTGGAATTCATCTTCTAGTTCAAAAAAAAATCACAGTAACTATACTAAGAGTAAAAAATTACAAATTTTCGGTAAGAATTAGATTTACGAAACAAGAGAACAAGTAAGAAAATAAATTTTAACTTTAAAACCGAGTTTAAAACAATTTTTTTAATACATAACTAGGCAAAAAACTGATGATTTATTATCTCCCTCTCTAAATGTTACTGTTTTAATTATTATTAATCAGTTCTGTATAATTTCAAAAAACAGACAACAACAAAAACCTCCAGTAAAAATATTATGTTAAAACGAAAGATCAATGAATAAATTGTAATTTCAGAAAAAAGTTAGAACCCAAGTATACAGGGTGTGTCAGAACTCGCGCCCGAGAGAAACATTTCAAGTAAGATACCAGGAACATGGACAAAATGTTTAAAAAATTCTATCTGTCAAAAAGTTTTGACATTTATTTTTTGACATTTGACATTTGTTGTGTCTATTTAATGATACTGATTTAGGATTTTTTTATAATTATTTAGTACAGGTACAAAAATTTTGCCAATAAAAACCACAAATAACATTAATCAGTTACAATTTAGGGTACGGCTTCCTTGTTTCCTCTTCTAATAGCCTGTAGCAGAAAAACTTGGAAACTTATTTTTTAACAGAAATAAATAGAGTCAAAATGCAAAATTTAAACTTTCATAACTTCGAAACTTTTATAAATAGAATTTTTTTAACATTTTTCCCATGTTCCTGGTATCTTATCTTACATGACATTTTCTCTGAAGTGCAGTTCTGGTGCACCCTGTATATTTAAATTAAAATATCGAGTTATAGAAATAACTGTTTAAGTTGACAATAGTGAATTTTATTTTTGAATGGTACACCTGAAGCAATATCGGGTTGGTGAGAAATTGACACTGGCAGTATTGACACTACAAATTCAATAAAATTTTAAATAGAAACATAACCTGCAATCTCATTAAGCAAAACCACATCCGGTTGCATTGGTGCAAACAGCCTAATGCGAAAATGCTCTTAATTCTGTTGACTATTTCCCTCACAAAATTTAAGCTAATCAAATCTTTTAAATTTCTGAGATTCATCCAATCAAATTCAAATTACACGATAATTCAGCACGTGTGCAAATTATCGGTAATTTGCCCGTGTGCTAAATTACCGCAAATCTGATTGGGTGAATCTCAAAAATTTGAAATTTTTCTTTAACATATTTTTTTTAATTTCTCATAATGAAAATGTCTGAAAAATACCCTCGTGCTTGCCAAATTGATTCTAATTTTTATCGTCAATTTAGCTTGCACTCGGGATATTACTACTGACAACTCAAACAGTCATTGTTGATCACCCGGTATAAGAAAATATATAAGGTTAAACAACTTCTAACAACCCTACTATCAAGAATACACTTCTTATTCGGAGAATACCACAGCAAAGATTTTCCAGTCAATTTGTAGGTTATTAATTGAAAAAATAAGTATAAAAATGTAAAATTTTTGCAAAAAATAAATAAAATTTAAGAAGCAACGGGTTTCCTCGACCAAAAAAATCTTTTGTAATTTCAACAGTTTTTTTATCTTTACAAAACTTCTCGTATGTGAAATAGACATTATCAGACTATTGCGAACACGGAATTTTGGACGATTTGTCATTCGACTGACATAAAAATGTAAAACAGGCCTTATGCAATAAACCTCACTTTCGGTTTTTGTAATTTTTATCCCAACAGCTAGAGAAAAAATTCCAACAAATCAAAATAATTTATTAAACTCATATAAAAACACGTGTTGCTACTTCAGAAACGCCAAAAATAAATTTCAACTAAAACTTTTAAATTTCAGTTTCAATCATAATGAAATTACAATAAAGCGTGGCTTACATTAACATTTTTTTAAATGACATATATCTGATGTCAAAAATTCCGTGCCCGCAATTGTAAGTCGTTTTATTCAAATAACACTTTTTTTCAATAAACATTTTGTATAAAAAAATAGATAAAAATTATTCGTAATTTTTAACTTTTATAAATAATAATATTTTTTTTATTAACCAACAAAAATCTTACCTGAAAACTCTTAGCTGAGGCACCCTGTACCTACGTACGATAGACAACTAAACGTAGTATTGAATACAACATTTTATTCTTCGAATTAGACTCGACAAGGGTTAAGCTTGCTTTAAATCTGTTAAAAATAATCTGACGTTTCGTATTGAGAAATGCCAAACAGTTGTCAAAACTTCCTTACACGAGCGAAAAACCGTAAATTTTGACAGTGTCGAAGAATAAAATTAATAACAATAAAATCCTAATTACTTCAATCAAAATTTTAATTTGTTTTTGTAAATTAATCCCAAAATTACAAAATTCAAACTAATAGGATTTTTTTAATATTTTATAACTAGACCATATGACGTGCATTTCTAGTCATTTCTTGACATTTATTATCGACAGGATAACACTAATGGCTCTTTTTTTTGACGTGATGGTACAGTGAATTTCGTCAACCCGATTTCCATGACAGGCTAAAAGTGGAAATTAATCTTTAGGTTTTTCTAACCTCGTTTCAGAATTTTGATTTACGTTTGTCATGTTGACAGAATGCTCGATGCTTCTTTGCTACCTTTTATCAGTGCTTTGTCTTATATTGCTTGAAGTATAGTCCCAACCCATTTTCAGGTTGAAAATAAAAATTTAATTAAATTTGGCAACACATATTTCAATGTCAACTATCACGACAATAAAGTATAGACTATAGTGAACTTTTGTAAATTTACAGAAAAAGAGGGAACAAAATGCACCGTCCGTCACTGTACAATCAAATAAATGCATCGTCTTATAATTAGTCTGCTACGTTTTCATTTGTGAATCAATTATTGTAATTTTAACAATTATTTAATCAGCAAAAGTTAGAAATGTCAAGTAATAATAATGTCAATATTTTTGTGATAGCGAACAAATCTTAGTTGAAGCACCCTATAAACAAACAAATAAAAATATTACAGATAGAGATAAATAGTGTTCTTAAAAGCTTAAGATCAAGTCAATTTACAAAAAATTCTGTTTTTCTCATACTTATTATTACAATGTAAGTATAAAAATCTGCAATTTTTCAGTTTTTTGTTGTGTGTTGTTAGTTTTAGACTTTTTTTTGTGTTTATTTGACAGATTCAAAGATAACTAGACTGCATTATTGCTAAATAAAGTAAATTATAAAAAAGAAAATGACAGATAAGAGTGTCAAAAACTAAACTCAGCCAATCAATATGATACAAGATGATAAAAATTAAATAAAAGAATCAGTGAATTTCGGATTTAAACCTTGAAAACGTAAAAATGATTCAATATGTAACCCTAAAAACTGACCTAGAACAACAAACTCGTTTTTCCAAAGTCAGTTCGTTTTATCATCTCCGAAAAGTTATACAAAGTGACCTTGACCCATTTAACTTGTGTGCCTGAAGCGTTAGGTTTAAAAATGTCCTTGACCCAGATACAATTTTTGTTTCCAAGTAAAATTTTGACAAATTTAATGACCGAACCCCTTATTATTTATTTGACGTTCCGCCCCTGTCAAAATAATCAATAAATCAATGACAGACCGATCATTATCACGATCACAAGCCGCCTATCAAAAAATAGCTTTTGCACCGTATCCAAAATCAGATAAGCTCATTTTGGTAAGACACCCCGCTTTCGTGACGTCATCGTTTGACAGCCGTTTGTTGTCAAATCGGTGTCAATGCCCCCGTGTCAAAAGGGTGCAAAAGGGAAACAAGAGGTCAACAAACTCAACGAAAACAATCAGGTCGGAGAAAAATCAATCCGTCCTTGAAATTCGATAAGACAACACGGACGACATAACCTCCAAATATTTACATTGCGAATTAACATCTCGAAAATATCTGACGTCGCCGCACCGTATCACATTGTTTCAATTAAGAGGAGTCCGGGGTGAAACGTTGACCTAACCTAAACCGGGAGACGGGATTTTTGCGGTCGTAGTAGGTCGTGAAACAAAAGACTCAAATCCATCGAAACAAATGAAACAATTTCTGACATTTGGTGTGTTGATGTGCGAATATTTACCTTGGTTCTGGTGACAATGTGTGTGGCCAGTTTGACCACGGCGAAATTACCCTTGCCGATGGTTTTTTCGAGTTCGTAATAACCGACACGCACTAATTTTTCAACATTCGACGATTTCGCGGACATTTTTCACCGTATTTTGGTGTCAGCTCGTCACCAAATAATATTCTACAGGCTACTAGATTTTAGTACGTTGATTCACATGTAGATCTCGCTCGACTTTTACGTCATGTGACGTCACCGGTACAATACAGGAAGAAAATCAACGATAAGATCGATGTTATGGAAATTTATGTCCCTGTAATACAACTTTATCTACTCGCTTTTCCTCTCTACGTTTATTTACATTTTTTGTCAAGACGGAAAATCGTAATCACTAGCAAAAATCGGCCACTTTATATGCACACGAGTACGACTGGTTGCATACGTCCAAAAATGCATTCCGGCTATTTCTGTTATCAGAAAATATGGAAATTGAGGAATTTTAATATTGAAACGAAAATAAATGTATCATGTCGACCCATTTAATTACTTATTCTATTGTAATCAGTCTTATGCTAAAAAAAAGAACAATTACTTCCGTGATTGCAGTGGCGTGGGAGATTTTTTTCGTATATATTTTTTTGAGAACGAAACAGTTTGTATTCTTCCAAACCGTTATAATTACACTGACTATAAAAAATACAACACGAAATATACACGATGTAATAGGAATAATTGAAGTAGCAACTGTAAATAAGAAAAATTTTTACAATTCTAATTCTGTATTCAGAAATATACGGGATGTGTCAAAACTCGCGCTCCTGAGAAAAATTTCAAGTAATATAAGATACCAAAACATGGAAAAAATGTTTAAAAAATTCTAATTTTGACATTTAACAATTTTTTATGTCTTTTTAATGATACTGATGATAATTTTGTATGTTTTTTTATAATTATTTAGTAAAAGTACAAAAATTTTGCCAATAAAAACCACAAATAACATTAAACAAAGTTACAATTATTTAGGATACAGCTTCCTTGTATTTTCAGCTTATTTTTCCAATAGAAATAAATAGTCTGCAAAATTTAAACTCTCATAACTTTGAAATTTTTATAGATAATTTTTTTAGCATGTTCCTGGTATCTTACCTTACATAGCATTTTTCTCTGGGGCGCGAATTCTGGCGCACACTGTATAGAAAAAAAAAAAACCTTAAAAATCAACCGAAGCTGATATTCACAAGAATTTAAAATAATCTTAATAAAATATGTTATTTGATTATTGTCGACTAAAACAGTCCTTTCTGCTAATTAAAAAAAAATAGTGAAAAAAAAATACAAAAATGAAATAATGATCAGATAATAAATACAGTTCAAATTTTTTAATCCAGCTACACTTTTAACCGAATTTTTTGTAATCCAAACAACGAGTTTAGCGATTGCATCAGTACTGTCAGATCTAATAAAATTTCGCCATTTTTGAAAAGTGTCAGGTTAAAAGTGATGACTTTAGTTTTTGGATTTACACCTTTTTTTAGTCAAAAATTACATATTTTGTCAACTTTTCTCAAAAATAAGTCGAAAAATTATAAATATTATCTATATTTGCGCATAATAAGCGTTTTTATATTTAGCATCATTGAGATTTACCAATGTTGTTTTTTCTTGTCTTTTTCGCTGCTTTATCAATTTCTAGAGGTACATTGTAGGTTATCAACATTTGACATATTGCACTACTAACTGCATTAGGTAGTTATCCACTAGTTAACTTTCGAAAATCTCAACACAAATTCCGATACTGACGCGTGATGTTTGTTTATAAACGTTTTTATGATTTCATTATTTGAAAATCGTCCTGATTATTTAGTTCATTTACTTGCTAATTATAGTGTTGCTCTCGATCTGAATATGTTTGCGGATAAAATAGTATATGTTATGTGGAGTAAAAGTGAGTTTATGTGGCTCATCTGAATTATTTGCCTCAATACGTTCGGAAAAATAAACGTTCAGCTTCGCCACATAAACTTTTACTCCTAATAATATAATACATATCCTGTTATTTTATTTGTTTCTTTTAATTCTAGTTAATAAGATCGATAAATCTCTAAATTGGGTTAAAATATGTAGTTATTTTTGTCTTTTTCAGAGCATTTTGACACGTTTCTTGACCAGAAACGGAATTATTTTTCAAAATTTTGTCAAAAACAAAGTGAAATTTTACCAAGTTAGAACAGGACAAAATTGGCGTTATTTTTTTCATTTTTAAGTGCTTTTAAGCAGGTTTTTGATATAAAAACTTTTTTTAGGAAAATTCAACAAAATTGTCTGAGAATTACCAAATTAGATTGTAATTAATATAATATAATATAATATAATTAATATAATAATAAAAAAAATCAAAATTGATGTTATTTAGCTCATTTTTGAACGACATTTTGTCAAAAAATAAGCCGAACAACCACAGAACTTAGTCGAAAATGTTGTTTCTTTACCTTTTTCAAGTCTTTAAATAAGTTTATGAACTAAAGATTTTGATATAACAAACAAAAAACGCCAAATCAAGTTTTTCAAGTAACAACGCAAATGGTTTGTATTATTTTGTAAAAAAAACAGCCTTTTTCGAACTACATTTTTGGGCAGAAAACTCAATTTCTGCCAGATTTATGTTATAAAACGTAAACCTTCGAACGGTTTAAACAAATAGCAAAGCGCAAGCTTTATAAAGAACGAGTTCCCCCAAATGACTTGGGAAACAATAAATTTTTTATACTATTTTTTCTATTTTGCGTATTTTTTTTACGTAGTTTTTAACATAAATGTAGATTTTTGATTATGTAGGAACTTTTGCCCTAATAAGGCGGTGGTTGGTAATAAATGTCACAAAGTTTGAAAAATTCGGTTTTTAACAATGAATACTGCAAATATTTCGTGCATACCTTCTGAAATAAGAGAAATCGCTCAAAACACCGCTGAAAATCACCATTACCAACCTCTAGAAAGTAAATTTTACTAGTCTATTTCAGCACCCGAATTGGTGTTGAAATGGCTCATGGTATCGAAATAATTTTTTTTTCAGACGCAAAATGGAAAAAAGTATATTTCAACTTTATATAAATATTATATAACTCACTCTCACCCTCTATTTTATATACATGGGGAGTGAGTTTAAAGTAAAACTGTATAAAAATACAACTCAACTATTATGTATCACGTAATTGGATCACACGTAGCGGCCAATACGGCGGCGCCATAATGTCATAATAATTTTCCTAAGGTAGCGCGAGTTTCTTTGAATCATTGTTCATATTAAAATTTAGAGTTTTTGTAAAATTTCTCAGTCCACGTACTTGACCTTTGACTCTTCTCATTGTTCTACCCCTGGTTTCCGTGCGCTTGGAAAATATGAATAAACAATTGTCAATTTGTTCTGAGTGTACTTATGACGTCATAAGATGACGATATCGGTCATCGCGCCATAGATCAACTGCATGCGACATTGCATAAATCTTTGATGCGGTTTTAACCATTTTCTTGACGTCACCATTTCGAAAATCTCGTTCTAATTGCTTTAATTTATCGATCAAAGACCTGACATTTAATATAAAGTGTAGATGTCCTTATATTCATCTGCACTCATTGTATAATTTAATTCCATTTCTCCATTCAAGGGGAACAAACGCACATCGAGTAATCAATGAATTTGACATCTTTGTAATTTTTTTTTCTCTTTATCAATTTGGGTCGCTTATTAGACGTGGGTTGATTTTAATAAAGATAAAAATGGAAGATCCAATTTTGATGAAAATTGGGAAAAAGGGGAACCATTAAATACACGTTTTCAAAGAGACGACAAAACAAATTAAGAAAACAGAATGATATGCATAATCTTAAGTTAAGAATAGTTAAATTTGCTAATTCAAACTTGCAAGGCACCTTTAGGAATTTATAAATCTACGATCTATGAAAGTATACATATTTTATATTTACTTGTAATAATTATATCTTAGAAATCACCCTGTATAGAGACTAGGGGCTAAACAATTAAAATTATTACAAATAATTGAAAACTGTATTCTGTATAATAAAAAAACACATGGATTAGGTAATTTAAGGAGTTTAACTACACACAAATAAACATTTCATCGCCTTTTGAATGGACAACTGTTCGCCCAATGCCCTGATTGGTTACAAATAAAGCACCTCCCATACCCCCCATAATACCTCCCCCTTGGTCTATCCGGAAAACATTCATAAACATCATAGTCGTGATCATCAGATAAGTAATTATAATCACTATCTTCATCCTCATCATCGACATAGTCCTCATCTTCTGAATATATCTCAATAATGCGTCCTGGTTCAACATCAACCACAGGACCGCCAGTCGAACTACTTGCAGTATTCACGACAATCTCTTCTCGTTGTTGGATTAAAACTTTCCGAGTCTCTTTCATCTCATCATTCTGCGTATTTATAAACTTTTCGATAAAATTATCAAGGACTAGAGTTGGGGCTATATTTGTGATGGCTTTGCGACAAATGGGACAATTTGATTTGTTTTTCGTCCATTTGTCTATGCAGAATTTGCAAAATGTATGTGAACAGTTTAAAGTGACTGCTTTAATAAACAATTCGGAACAGATACTGCAAGTGAGCTCGTTTTCCATCAAGTCTTCGGGTTTGCTGTCAGGTTGAGCCGTTTCAGACTCTTCCTTAGGCTCAGAAGAAGCAACTTGATCTGGAAAAGGCTCTTCTAATTCTCTTATAAGTGCCTCATCTATTTCCAGTTCTCTTTGAATGTCAGCTACAACTGGTTGGTTTTGAGGAGTCACGTGTGGTTCGGAACTTTTAGATGTGGGAGAACAAGTGAAAACAAAATTTAAATTCTCAGGCCCTAATTTTATAATATCTCCGTCTTTTAAATCAATACTCTGGTTAAATTTGTAAAGAGTTGAGTTGACAATTGTTCCATTGGTACTCTAAAAACTATCCAATTAATAACTGAGTGAGTAAATTGTGACCATTACTCGATCAAAAAGTGTCCATTTCTCGTCATTTTTCTTAATAAAGCAATGAAATCGGGAAACACCAAGAGATTCAATGATATGATCACAGCTGAGACTTCGCCCAATTGAGAACTGAAAATAAATATAAAACATACATAGACTTAAAGCATTATATTCCTACAGATGAATTATTAATTATAATAACAGATTCATCGTGTGGATTCACTAATTTCGGGAAATCTTCCATTATTTTGATTTGTAAGTGACATCTGACTAACACTAACAAGAAAAAGTTTAGGGAGTTTCGTTCCGAATCAGATACATTTTCTAAAATTTTAAATTATTTCAAATAAATATTATTAATACAATATTTTACATTGTTTATTAAACCAACTTTAATTTTAAATTTAAAAAATGATTTTTAATCGACTATAGAGTGTGATTAAATTTAATTACGAAATTAATTAAGTGGGTTGGTAGTGTGTGAAATGCGCACGCACTTGTCAAAAACAACACAAATGGCGTCGTTTAATGGCGATGTGAAGTGAATCCGTGTATTTTTGCTTATTTTTTATAAATTTGTGAAAAATGTCGGACTCTGAGGGAAGTAATTTTTCCGATAATGCCTCAGAGGCGGGCTCAGTTCGCTCGAGGAGTTCCAGAGGGAGCAGATCGAGGTCGCCTTCTCGCTCCCGATCCAGATCGCGATCCCGGTCAAAATCTGGGAGTCGTTCGGCACGTTCTGGGTATGTACCATATGGTACAAGGTTTTCAAATCATTATAACTGAAATTATTGTATTTTGCAGTTCCGAAGCTCGCGAGGCCTCCGAACCGGAAGAAGTGGAAGAAGAACAAGAGCCCGAAGGTGACTCTCTCGATGAATACGACAGTGAAGAAGACGAAAGCGATTCTGGTCGTGCGAAAAAGAAGAAGAAGAAGGATAGATATGGCGGTTTTATTATCGATGAAGCTGAAGTAGATGACGAAGTCGAAGATGAAGATGATTGGGAAGAAGGAGCGCAAGAAATCGGTATTGTACCCAATGAAGTTGACGAATTTGGACCCACTGCACGTGAGATCGAAGGAAGACGACGAGGAACAAATCTTTGGGAGTAATTTAAACCAAAAATAAACCCTTCTAATAGATACTAATCGGTGATTGTAGTGCACAAAAAGAACACGAGATTGAAGAATACTTGAGGAAGAAGTATGCTGACGATAGTGCGGCGGCGAAACATTTTGGAGATGGTGGTGAAGAAATGTCGGACGAGATCACCCAACAGACGTTATTACCGGGTGTTAAGTAAGTCATTTGACATTTTTTTTTAATTTACTGAATAATTTTTCAAGGGACCCGAATTTGTGGATGGTTAAATGTCGCATTGGTGAAGAAAAAGCAACGGCTTTACTTTTAATGCGGAAATATTTGGCATATCAAAATACTAGTGAACCTCTTCAGATCAAATCGGTTGTAGCACCGGAAGGTGTCAAAGGTTACATCTATATTGAGGCTTATAAACAGCCCCATGTCAAAGCAGCCATCGAAAATGTGGGTAACTTGAGGATGGGGATTTGGAAACAACAAATGGTGCCGATTAAAGAAATGACTGATGTGTTACGAGTGGTTAAGGAACAGACAGGTAAAGTAGGATGTTTTATGCAGTGTTGCCACATCAAAAGCATAAAATTTACAAGATCCGAGTTGAAAAATTCGCCAAATTTTTACCAGATTACGATTTGCAAGGCTATATCTCGCGAAAAAATTCAGTTTTTAGCTTAAAAATTCGCTTAAACTCTTGAAATAAGCAAAAATTATGTCATTTTGGGCCAATTCTGTGATTTTTCGGCTTCTTTTTAACAAAATTTTGTGAAATAATTGCGTTTTTAGCTGAAAAACGTGCTATAATGTTTGAGAAATGCAAAAATAATGTAATTGTAGACTTAATTTTTTGATTTTTTTAGCTTCTTTTAGCGAAATCTACTGGAAAACCGGGGGTTCTAGTACAAAAACGCACTTAAAACCATTTTCGGTCAAATTTTGTGGTTTCTCAGCTTATTTTTATGTTAATTTTGCTCAATTTCGATTTGATTTTGAAATTTTTTAGTCTGTTTCATCGTAACATGTCAAACTTTTTGTGCTTTTATCTCTCAAAAACATGTTTCAAACTCGAACAAGTCCAAAAACACCGTTTAGGATATTTTGTTGTATTTGTGGCTTGTTTTTAACTAAATTTTGCAAAATTGTTTCTAGCGGAAAAAGCATTCACATCAGTTGTCATTTTCGACTCTGTTTAGTAATATTTTGTAAGAAACAAATTTTTAATCAATTTGGTGTTTTTCGATTATTTTTTCTTCGAGAAAATGTGACGAAGCCTTATTAAAGTTAAGTAAAAATATCATGATGTAATATTTGTTTGTAACAATTTAATGATTTTTGACATCTCTCGCGAGAAAAGCAGAGTTTTCAACTTAAAAATCTATTTGAACTTTCGAAAAAGAAAAAAATTATATCATTTTCGGCCTAATTCTGTGTTTTTTGTCTAGTTTTTTAACCAGTTTTACGAAATAATTGCGTTTCTAGCTGAAAAATGTCCTAAAACTCTCAGGAAGTACAAAATTAATGTAATTTTTGACTTAATATGTTGATTTTTCAGTTCTTTTTAGCGAAATCTCGCAAAAAAAACTGAGATTGTAATACAAAAACGTGCTCGAGTGAAACATACAAAATAACATCAATATCAATTGTTTTTGTGATTTTTTAACGTGTTTGGACAAGATTTTGAAAAATAAATGAGCCTCTGGTTCAAAAAAGAAGTAAGTCGAGCGAAACAAGCTAAAAATAATATCAATTTTGATTTAACTTTGTAATTTTTTTGCTTGCTTCAACGTAATTTTTAAAATTTTCTTTGCTTTTATCGCAAAAACGTGCTTAAACACTTGAAAAGGGCAAAAATAACGCCGTTTGTAGTCGAATTTCTTGAGTTTTTAACGAAATTTTGTGAAATAATTGTATTTCGATCCTGTTCAATAAAATCTTGTAAAAAAACAAACACAAAAATATGTATTTTTTAACCAATTTGGTGGTTTTTCAACTTTTTTGAAAAAAATGAGATGATCAAGTTTCTCGTTCAAAACGTGCGAGATGCTCGAAAAACAGTTTTTTCATTTCCAAAAAGTCACTAGACCAACATGGAAATTATCAGATCTGGTGAAATTGTACCACTGGTTTTATGACAAGAAAAAGATAAAGTTTGATAATTGCAGGTTTAAAATCCAAGCAATGGGTCCGTTTAAAGCGAGGTCTCTACAAAGACGACATTGCACAAGTCGACTACTTCGACATGGCCCAAAACCAAGTTCACCTCAAACTCCTGCCTCGGATCGACTACACTCGTCTACGCGGTGCTCTCCGCACCACCCAATCCGAATCCGAAGCAGATAAACGCAAAAAGAAACGTCGTCCGCCTAGCAAACCATTTGATCCGGAAGCTATCCGTTCCATAGGTGGTGAAGTTACATCCGATGGTGATTTTCTTATTTTTGAAGGCAATCGTTACTCGCGTAAAGGCTTCCTCTACAAGAATTTTACATTAAGCGCTGTAATAATCGATGGTGTGAAACCGACTCTAGCAGAATTGGAACGATTCGAAGAACAACCTGAAGGTATAGATTTAGAATTACCGACCGAGAAGGAGGACAAAGCCGTCACACATTCGTTCAGCGCTGGTGATAATGTAGAAGTATGCGAGGGTGAATTAATCAATCTTCAAGGAAAAATTATTAGTATTGACGGAGCGATGATAACGATAATGCCGAAACATGAGGATTTGAAGGATCTACTTGTTTTTCAAGCTTCAGAATTGAAGAAATATTTCAAAATGGGAGATCATGTCAAGGTTCTGGCAGGTATTGTAAAGCTTAGTTTTGTTAGATTGGTAGTAATGGAATTGTTTACAGGTCGGTATGAGGGTGATACCGGATTGGTTGTCAGAGTCGAGAATAATCGAGTTGTTTTAATTTCTGATTTGACGATGCACGAAATGGAGATTTTACCGAAAGATTTACAACTTTGTACGGATATGGCGAGTGGAGTGGATTCGTTGGGGAAATTCGAATGGGGGGATTTGGTCAATTTGGATGCGGAGACGGTGGGAGTGATCGTCAGGTTGGAGAGGGAGAATTTTCATGTTCTCAATATGCACGGTGGGTTGTATTCAGTGTTGCCAAGACTAGTGATTTTTTATACTAGTTTTTAATGATTTGATAAAAAAATTCTAATTTCTGACGATTTTTTAGAAACGTGTCTGTAGTTCCAGCAGAAAATTTATGTATTTTGATATATTTTTTTAACCGAGTTATCGAGTACATTCTCAAATTTTAGTAAAATTAACTTTTTTAATATGATTTTTTAATTATTAAGTGCGAGTTCTGGCGCACCTGTATAGTAAATTCAGTCAAAAATGATGACACTATTTTTTTTTTTTTTGAGCGTTTTGCACTTTTTTTGCAAAAACTCATTTTCTCAAAAAGTTGAAAAATCAAGAGATAGTTTTGTTTTTCTAAATAATATTTCATTTAACAAAGTAAAAAAACGCTAAAATTCATTATTTTGTTCATTTCTGAGCGTTTTAGTATTTTTTTAGCCAGAAATACAACCATTTTGCAAAATTTTGTTAAAAACAAACGGGAATTTATCAAATTAGGCCAAAACTAGTGTTATTTTTGCATTTTTAGAAAATTTCAGCACATTTTTAAACTACATTCAAATTTTTGCTAAAACTGACTGAAAAATTACCAAATTAAATTGAAGTTGATATTTTAGCGTGTCTCACTCGATTTAGTTCGTTTTTGAACCAGAGACTTATTTATTTTGCAGGATATTGTCAAAACATGCTTAAACATTACAAAAATAAATCTAAATTGATGTTATTTCGTTTGTTTCATTCGATTTAGCTCTTTTTGTCAAAAAAATAGGACGAAAAATAGAAAATATGGTCGAAAATGGTGTTAATTACAAAATTTTGCTAAAACAAACCAAAAAAACATCAAATTAAGTAATTATTTTTGCCTTTATCAAGTGTTTTAACATGTTTTTCAAGTAAATACGTAAATATCGAGTGACTGTAAATGATTTGGTGTAACTTAAAATGTAATTTGGCAACCTTGACTTTCAAAATTAAACGTCAAACTTTTATAGTTTTTAGTGTTGCCAATAGATTTTTCGTTACCCAGTATTTCGCAAAATTTAATTAAGAACTAGACAAAAAATTATAGAATTAGACTAAATAAAATAGCACTACCTATTTTTGCATTTTTCGAGCGTTTAGGCACGTTTTGAGCAGATTTGCGAAAATTATTGAAAAAACCGTCAATCTTCGACAGTATTAGAAAAATTTAAGTTTAATCTGGTGAAAATAGATGTAAATCTGGTAACTTCTTGACCATAAAGTTTTTCTCACATTGAGATGTGATTATTATGAGGTATTATATTAACAATCTACAAATTGTGAAAAATTTAGTCTTGTAAAAATCTTTATTTATTTTTTCAGGAAAAGTGGTCGAATGCCGTCCCGGTTCGTTACAGAAACGTCGTTTGAACCGTTTCACAGCCGCCTTAGACTCCTACCGTAACAATCTCCATCGCAAAGACATGGTGAAAGTAATCGACGGTCCACATTCTGGCTTTTCTGGCGAAATCAAACACTTGTATCGAAATTTTGCATTTTTACATTCCGTTGAATTTTTGCAAAACGGTGGAATTTTCGTTTGCAAAACGAAACATTTGCAACTTGCTGGTGGTAACAAAAGTGTTCCGAGTGCTGATATTTCAACTGGAATGGAATACATGTCGCCGAGGAGGAGTTCACCGATGCATCCCTCCAGCGGTGGAGGAGGTTTAGGTGGATTTGCCAGTCCTCGACCAGGTGGGGGTGGAGGAGGGGGAGGCGGTGGAGGTGGTCGAGGGAGAGTGTCACGTGATCGGGATATTATTGGTACTACTATTAAAATCACCAAAGGGCCTTATAAGGGCAATATCGGAATTGTCAAAGACGCTACACAATCAACAGCAAGGATCGAATTGCACACCTCATGTCAAACTATTAGTGTCGACAGAAGTCATATTGCTGATGTTGGTACGACTGTGATGCTTAACGTGGTATATAAATTGCTAAAATTTAAATTTTAGGTACACCCAGCCGAGATGGCAGTATTTCGAGTTATGGAAGAACGCCTGCGTACACCGGAAGTCAGACTCCGTTGTATCGTGACACCGGAAATAAAACGCCAATGTGCGATTCCGGTTCTCGTACTCCATTGCATTATGGTGGTTCGATGACGCCGATTCATGATGGTTCTAGGACACCGAACGCATCCTCCGAGTGGGATCCGACCGTTTCGAATACGTATCCGTCTCCGGGTTATAATCCGGGAACTCCGGGATATCAAATGAACGGACCGTTTACTCCACAAACTCCAGGGACTATTTATGATTCCACTTATAGTCCGTATCAGGCTAGTCCGGGTTATCAGAGTGAGTATTAATCAAATCGTTTGTGTTATTAAGGGCCGGTTCTTTAATCGTTGGTCAAAGTTAAACCTCTGGTTTTGATTGGTTAAATTGCAAAAATTTCCATAGAAACCTACTAACTAGAGGTTAACCAACGATTGAAAAACCGACCCTTAGGTTAAAACAATTAATATTGGAATATACACGTGTTTGCTCACAATAAGAATAAATAGAAGAGGTAGGAGTATGATTTTAATTTCTGTAAATTTTAATGTCTTGCTGTGACAATTACTTCAATTATGCAAATTTGTGACATCACTTAATATTTTCTACCAACTACTTAAATTACGCCTCTTTTTCTTGCTTTTATTTCTTAATTCAAATTTTTACTACCTTAACAATTTTTAAAACAATTTCAAGTTTATTGAGTTGATAATTTTTTGGTTTTTCCTTAAAAGTAGTCTGAGCCGAGCTGCAGTTTCTTTTCTTGATCATAAGAAACCATAAATCTCGTGCAGTTATGACAATCCTGACTAAAATTTTCTATTTCAAATTTTAAAACACCTTTTTAGAATAATAAACCTCTATCTAATTTTAACAAGATCATTTTGCAAGGTTGTATGTTATAAATAATAATTATTACAACAAAAATACAAAATAGAAATAATAATATTTTTTCCTAATCTAATATACAAAGTGTTTCACAACTTATCTGGTAAATGGTATAGAAAATTTCTTTCTTGAAAAAAATGTCGAGTAAAAGTCTTAAGAGATGAAAATTGCTGAAGCTTGAAAAATTGATAATTATTATTATTAATTAAGCTACGGTAACTAGATAACTGTATCAAAGTAGACAATGCATCATAAAAAAAACTGTCAAAAATAACTAGCAAAAAAAACACATTCTTTGATGTAAACAAAAATCAATTATAATGCGTTATTAAATTTTTAATTATAAAATGTAAATTGTATTGTACAGGGTGTCCCATGTTTTAGGGCCAAGGCAAAATATTTATTACACAAGACGATAAAATTGAATTTTATCTTTGAGAAAACCTAATGAAAATTTTATCGTCGTGTACAATATAAAATTCAATCCTCACTAATTTTGTAGTCAATTTGGTCGATATTTATAAATGTCAAAGTAAAATTCAACAATGAAATCTAATGTCAAAGATCGTTAGCAACTAACAACCGCAGGTATACAACAATGGATGTTTTTTTTTATCATCTAGACGATAAAATTTCATTTTAACATACAAGAAAAGAGTAGAAAAAATTCAATTTTAACATATAGGATTGGATAAATAAATATTATTTTGTACTCAATGTTAAAGCGTGCTTTTATCAACTAGTTTTAGTAGATAAAGTAGTCTTTTATCGTCTAGTGAAATAAAATAATTTTTATCTACTGTTTATATTTAATCAATTAATTTCAGTAGATAAAGTAGTCTTTTATCGTTTTGTGAAATAAAGTAATTTTTATCTACTGTTTAGATTCAAGAAATTCTGGTAGGTGAGTACAAAATAAAACGAAATATTATACACGACGATAAAAATTGTTTATCTACTTGTGAAAAAAGTCCACTCGTGACTTCGTCACTCCTAAACTTAGCCTTTTCACTCGTAGATAAACAATTTCTTTATCGTCTTGTATAATAAATAACTATTTCTAATTGATTAAAAAAGAATTTTGATAGTGTAAACGATAGAGGATTAAATAAAATTTCAATTAAATGGAATATTTTCTACATGATAAAATTCTGATTTCTTTCTGTGGTATTTGTGAAAATAGAATAGTGATAAAGTTGATAGGTTTCGAATAATTAACATTTTAATATTGAAAATCTGAAACTTGGAATAATTTATGGGGGGGTTTACGGTAATTAATGATCAGGCCAGAATTTCTTGACAAAAGAAAAAGGTCCGCAATAACATTTATGACGTACCCGCGCTCTATTGTAAAGCCTCTGCTCTATTAGTCTAAGAGCCTGCGGTCGCCAGACCTTCGTCATTTTATAAAAGTTGAAAATTTGTCAGCGCATACTATCAACACAGGTAGGAACGATCGACAAGTATGAAGTTTGGGTCATCGTGTCTTTGGGAAATAACAGATAGCAAAGAAGTAAAAAATATTAACTTAAAATTATCAAATAAAAAAGCGTAATTTCTTCATATTTTTTTCGGAAATCACCTCATCCATTGCCAGACACTTAATATCGTGGCAACCCCTTGTCATACACCCTTAAATTTTAATAAATTGTAACTGTAACGTTATAAAAAAAAAGTATAAAAGCTGAATTTTATACATGTTACTTGGATAACCCTTAGAAGATGTTTTCTCAGCAGCCAGACAGTTTCAACAGTTCTAAGTGCTGTTTATAAAATAAAGTTGATTCAGTTTTGACAAAGTATCATCATAGGAAGCCTACAGCTACCCTATATGTTTGTCTGGCCGAGCGTTAGAACTGTCAAAACTGTCTTGCTACAGAGAAAACATCTTCTAATAGTTACCAAAGTAACATATCTAAAATTCAGCCTTTACACTTTAACGTAAGTACAGTTACAATTTATTAATGTTTAAGGGTTTCTGACAAGGGGTTGCCACGATATTAAGTGTCTGGTAATGGATGAGGTGATTTCTAATATTGTTCCGAAGAAAATATAAAAAAATTACGCTTTTTTATTCAATAAATTTAAGTTGGTATTTTTTTACTTCTTTGCTACCTGTTATCTCCCAAAGCCACGATGACTTAAACTTCATACTTGCCCATGGTTTCTTCCTGTGTTGGTAGTATGCGCTGACAAATTTTCAACTTTTATAAAATGACGAAAGTCTGGCGACCGTGGGCTCTTGCTCTATATTATTAATGCATAAATCATCCCAAACTTAGCCATAAATTTCCAGAATTCCCAATTTCAATATTAAAATGTTAATTACTCAAAATCTATCAACTATTACATTATTCAATTTTCACAGTTACCATTAGAAAAAATCAAGGAATTTTATCATGTAGAAAATATTCCTAATAATAAAAAAAATCCAAATTTGTTTTTTAAGGTCTCACTGATATACGCTAAAAATTTTGAACAATATTAAAGTATCAAATTAAAGTCTATATAATCCTCTATCGTTTTTACCAGCAATTTTTTTTTAATTAATTAGTATCTCTATCGTTTGTACCAGCAATTTTTTTTTTTTAATTAATTAGTAATATGTATTTTTGCGCCGGCCCTGAAACTTGGGACACCCTGTATAAATCACTTTTACAATTTACAAGTTTCCTTTTTTGTACTCGATTTAACGATCATTGTTACCGTTATAATATGATTTATGCAGATATTTGTAATATTTATGTTCAAAGAAATCTAGAAAAATCGATTAAAACATTTATACAATTTCCGGAGGAAAAACGTAATCTTACAATAATTAATTGAGCTTGACCAAAAGTTGGTTAATAACAAAGATATTGACCGGGAAAATATTTTTGAATTATTAGAAATTTTTAATAGTCAAGATTAAACATTTCATTTTTTTTCAGGTGCTATTTCGACTCCGAGCCCCGCGACCGGCTACGGCCAATCACCTGCAAGCAACAACCCTTACAACACCCCGAGTTCCGGTTACAGCCCCAACATGCCGTACAACCCTCAAACTCCTGGAGCCGGTCTCGATGTACTTCCAATGACCGATTGGCATACAATCGATATCGAAGTACGAATTAGAGACAGTCATGACGATCCAGGATTAGTGGGTCAAACCGGAATCATTCGGAGCATTTCCGGAGCCATGTGTTCGATTTTCTTACCGGAAGAAGATCGAGTCGTTAATATTATTTCGGATCATTTAGAACCAGTGCGACCACAACGAGGAGATGCATTCAAAGTAATAATTGGTGAGGAAAGGGAAGCAACCGGAGAGTTGCTTTCAATTGATTTGCATGAAGGAGTGGTGAAAATGAAGAACGATATAAAAATGTTACCACTCCAGAATTTATGTAAAATGAGAAAAGATTTATAATTGTTTATTCTCATTAAAATATCTAGGAAGAAAAGAAGATTTAGTTTGCTTTTTTCCCAAACAAAGGAAACTATTTGTCATTATACAGGATAATTCAGAGAATACGTCACAACCAATGCAGCGTGCGCCAGAACTCGCGTCCCAGAGAAAAATGCCATATAAGGTAAGATGCCAGGAACATGGAAAAAATATTTAAAAAAAATTATCTATAAAAAATTCGAAGTTGTGAGAGTTTAAATTTTGCACTTTGACGATATTAATTTCTGTTGGAAAAATAATTTTCCAAATTTTTTTGGTACTGCTATTAAAAGAAGAAAGAAAAAAGCTGTGTCCCAAATTGTAACTTTATTCAATGTTATTTGTGACTTTTATTGGCAAAATTTTTGTACCTTTATTAAATAATTGTAAAAAAACATATACAAGATCATCAGTATCATTAAACAGACATAAAAATTTACAAATGTCTAAAAATAAATGTCAAAATTTTCTGACAGAATTTTTTAAACATTTTTCCATGTTCCTGGTATCTTATTTTACATGAATTTTTTGTCTGGGGCGCGAGTTCTGGCTCAACCTGTATTTAAAAACATGGAAAAATATGTAGTTTATTTGAAAAAAAATGAGTTCGATCTCAAAATAATGACACCTTGTGTAAAAGTGATATTTTATTATTCCAATAAAGGTAAGTTAACTGATTTTTAAGGAAAATAAATAGGAGAGAACATTAGTTATGTTAAATTTAATTAATACTTCTGTAAAAAGTGTATTTGAAATGACTCACTGGTTTCAACAACATTCAAATAACTGTTTTAATAGCTTTACATTATTATTATTATTACAATAACACTAAACGTTTAAAATATTGGTGAAATGAGAATCGCATTGTAATGGAGGATTTATTTATTCTTATTAAAAAAAATACATCCTAGTCATATAAAGTATTTATAAGTAGCTCTGCTTGTTTTGTAAAGGGCCACAATTCTATAACCTAACCTCAATTATTTTAAAGTACAATCTTTTGAAAAGGTACAATTGGAAATATTGGTCGATTAACTCTAAACTGCATAGAGCCAAACGCATGCAAAGACACCGAAAAGTGCATAATTAATTTTAGCAGTATGTGCGGAATTTTTCGTACATTCGGCCGGTTTTTCCCCGTGAATGTATTGACATAAAGCTTTGACGAAATTGGTTTTAGCCAATTCATTATCATCTTGTTTGTACTGATTATTGAAGACGACAGTGGGGACTGAAGTTAGGGGCGGTTTCAAAGCGTCCGTCTGTTTACCCACCTCGGCCAAATACTGCGATCCTGAAACGAAAAACTTTCATTTATGTCAACAGATGGCGCTTAATACCTTCAACGTGATTGGCACAATTCTCAATATTGACATAATTGGGCACATGGTTGATGGTGGCACAATCTTGGGTGGGGAATTGGGTTTGATTTCCATTGGGTTTCACTTTGTCCATCAAACAATTGATAAACGCCGTGGCAACTTTGTTGTAGCCCAAACCTTCCGAGTTGTGACCCTCGCCGATGGTGCGAAGGGCGCAGACTTGGAGACGATTCCCCTGGCATTCGGCTGGTCCATGGTGACAGTTGAAATCGTATTGGCCGGGAATTTGTTCAGTTGTCTGTTGATTAATCGAATTAGTGGTGATTAACACATCGGAATTTTACTTAGATTAGTGTGCAAGTGATAATTCTGATTCATAAATATGTGAAAATTAAATATTTCTTGTTGGCGATAAGTGACCACTGAATCATTTAAATTTCGATAATTGTTTAAATTTATGTCTTGTGATTTGTGCTACGAGGAAATATGATTGCATACGTGATTCTGGGAAAGCGGTGAAACAAGTGAAATCGACTATGTTTTTAAATGGGGAATAAAAGTTAGAATCTAGTGGCCAATTACTCGATTATATCGAAATAAAATTTAATTTCTTGTAAAATTTTAAGTGTTGAGATAAAATTACAACTTACTAGCAGTGTAAAAAGCCATAAAAATCTTTCAGATTCCAAATTTTGCAACAAACTTGCATGTAAATGCGAGCAACTGCATTTTTAAATGTCAAATGAGATAAATAAAAACGACTTTATGATATTATCTACTATTTAGAAAAGACAAAAGATTTTTTTGTTTGCAAAAATTGTATTTTAGGTATTTTAATTTTGAATTAAAAAATAAGTTTCATAAGACCAGTCTTGAAGTACGATTTCAAGTTTAAAAATCGAGTGGCGTAGCCATGAGCTAAAAAAAATTATTCCAATTTTTTCTACATATTTCGGTGTGTTAGACATAACTTTTTTCGATGTGTTTTATTTGTTGCAACAATACAATTTTATCTGAACAAGGAAATAATTTCAGTGACCCTCAAAACGTGTACCAATTTTTTGCAATTAAATAACGTTCTTAATAATAACAAATGTGTAAGTTTTTTTCTCGTTTACAGTATTTCTGTACTCTTCTATTACTAGGTCAATTTTCAACTCCAAGACCGTAAACACCCTGTATTAAAACGTCAACTTTGTTAATTCAAAAACTTCATAATTCAAATATTTCATAGTCGTAGTTAAAGCATACTATTTTACTTACTCGTCTACGTCTCGTTTTTTAAACCTCACGTGAATAATTGCCATTATTATATGCTCGTTGAATAATATACTATTTGTATTGTCAATAAAGTTGTGTTTTTCGACGTCGCAATAATGACTTCGTATTATTTATGATTTTATTTTAAAGTATAAGTGCTTCCAGTCTTAGAAACAAGTTTTTCATACTATTTTTTTGTAATCTGATGTCTTTATGTCCTTTTTAAACAATTTTTTTTAGTTTAATCAATTCAGGAATTGTGACGTTTGGTAATGTCTTAATTTTATAAGTCTGATCTAGACGCCTTTTGACTATTAAAACATCGCAAAGAGTGTTTATTTAAATATTTAAATTTGGCGTCATAGTTTGTGGTGATATGAGTATGTTGTGAACGGACCACAATTTTTAATACACCCGTTATATTAGAGAATCAAAATGGAGGCAAATTAAAAAAAAAACATTTTATTCCAATTTGACAAAATAAATAATTTTATTTTATAATATTATTGGCGTATCCATAGACACATAATTTAGTTTACATTACACTACGTGGAATATATATTCCACGATTGGAATTTAAAGACATATTCTTCAGCTGCTTCCTGTATGGCCTACTGTTTGAACGCGACTTGACATTTTTATTAATTACATTAAAACGTCAACTTTGTCAATAACAAAAATCGAAAATATTTTTTGAAAATAAAGCATAGTATTCTACTTACTCGTCCAGGACTCGTTTTTTAAACTTTCCTGAATAATAGCCAATTATTATATGCTTGTTGAATAATATACTATTTGTACTTTCAGTTGGGGTATTTTTTTGACGTCGCAATAATGACTCACTCTATTTACAAAAGTAGTACGAATCTCATTTTCCAAATCGGTTTTTTAATTGTATGAAATTATGTGGCTTTTCCTTCCTATAAGGTGTTGTAAAAAGTAGTAACACTAAAGATTACAATAAGACTAAAATTATCTATTCATATTATTAAATCCAACCGCAAATACTTTTTTCAGGACAATTTAATTACACATTACTTTTTACAATTGTAATTCAAGAACAATATTGTAGCAGTGGAGATATACCAAAATTAAACTCCGCCTTTTAATTTGCCCTTAGATTATTTAAAACGTTCAAACATGAAAGTGTATATTTGCTAAAGGCACTAAAAGCTGTTCTTGCGGAATACAGTGTCGCCTCTCCCACAATCAATACCTACTAATTTGCGTGCTCACTAATTAATCTGTTTAAATCTTGTGTGAAATTAAACAATTTTTCTTAAAATACTGTTTTAATGTGGAATTTGCTAAAAGGTAACTGTAGAACGGAAATATGAGCACGTTTGAATAAAAGAAGTTTATGTAGCAAAAAAATGAGGTCGAGTTATTTTTAGCAGAAAAAATCGAATTCAACACTTCTTTTTGAGTATATGAAAAAATAACCATACAACCTGTGAGAAAATTTCAAATTTCATATAAAGAAAAAATCAAGTTTAGTAAATAAAATTGCAAACCCAACAAATGTGGAAATTAATTAACGATTTTAACACTAAAAATAGAACTTAAGCAATCATGATAATTACTAATATCCACAAATGACATTTTCGCCTAGCGACAACATCTTTTTATGGACTGAGAAGACTACCGGTGAAAGTAAATAAAAATTATAAGTGAACAAATATGTTATTTGTGTCGAGAATTTGCTATAGTGAGTTTCAGAAATTAACAAAAATTCACTGATTAATAAAACTTGTTTTTTTATTGTTTGAGGCATTCTCAAATGGCATTGATCAAATATTTTTGTTGTTGACCTCAACTACCGGGTGAGCAAAAATGACTTTAAATTGGTAACGGGAATCAAGATGATTTTTATATTCGTCTGAAATTCACTACTAATTAATAAAAACATTAAAGAAAAAAAAATTGTTAAATGAAAAGTATTCTATTGTTTCATACTCATTCCGTAAATGTTAATGACATACAAAGCTAAATTACTGTTTGAGTAAGAATCACAATGCAAAAAATTATAATAATTACATTTTAATAATTTGTTGCATTCGATATTTGATTATTATTTATTGCACACATGTTCTTACATCATTTTATTCTCGATTATTTGTACAAAAAGTCGGTTGTTGGCGACTACAGAATAATAAAAGGAAATATTTTCCCGTGATTTTATTTAATTTTCACCTTGAGACTTTTTTTCATGTTTTGAAAGACTTTCGCTGAAAGAGAAAATTGTCCTAACTATAGAAACTTTACACTGTTACTCATTGCTTGCTTAGGATTTGAAATTAAAATCTTGTATAAATAAAAATCCATTTCTAATAATGAAATCAATAAGAAATTATAACAAAATTGCAAGAAGATGACAGTTGTAACCCACTTTAATTTTGACATCTGAACTAACAAAAGCACTAATCTGTTCCCGTGGCCAATTAAACTCCATTTTTTATTAGTTTTAAAACTGAATAGAAAGTCTGGTAACAATTTAAACTAGTTATGCCTCCGCAAAATAGGAGAATCGGTTTGTTTCCTTCGTTTAATTAAGTTTCCAAATAAATTGTTGTAATTAAATAACCTCAATAGTGTAATTTACTAAATTAGGACGTGCGGAACACTAGAAATTGTGTTCCTCAATTGGCCAAATAAACTAAATATTTCGCAGACTACTAAGTGGTCTGCAAAAGACGTCATTATTTCGACCTTTGTGAGCCAATGGAAGTCACTTGTAGCTTGTCATTTTTCCTAATTGTTTATTTGAAAACAGTCTAATTTAATAACTGGTCTTCAAAATAAAGCTTGCTAATTTATATCGAAAATATTGTTACTGTTAATCACAATATTTAGGTTTACAATTTTATCTACTATTAAAAAGTATTGTTGCTACCTTACGCAAAACAACGTTGTCTCGTATTACCGGTAAAGTTATTATTATTTTTTTACTGCAACATTACCGGTACTAGATTGGTTCATAAACAATTAGGCGTTGTTTTTTTGTGTTTAAGAAAGCATTATTTTTTTTTAATTGTCCCTCGTTTTGTGATGTTTTTATTACATTTAAAGTAATTAGATGTAAACATACAGAGTGTCTCATAAATAACAGTTATAACTAAGGGTCAAAGGGCATTGTGTTAATATTTTTTGATGTATGGATTCATTTTCAAAAAATAAGAAATCTAACATAATTTCTCAAAAGCCCATTAGATTTTAAGTTTTTATTAAAAAAAAAGTTATTTGAGATCTTAAATTAGACAGGGTGTTGCATTTCTAAAGTTCAAGATCAAATGTCGAAATTTTTAATCAGGGGCGAATAAAAGTTTTCTCTTGTTTTTGAATTCTACAAAATTTTAATTTTTTTTAAATGGCAATCCACTAAAAAACCTTTTTTATAAAGGCTAATGGGTAGATTACAACTATCTACCTTATTCAATTTTATCAAAAAAAATTTTTTATAACACTTTAATTCTTATTAATTATTATTTCGAAGGCAAATGATTAAAAAAGCCCTTGATTGTTTCAAATGTTATCTGTAATAATTTTGTAGTTATTTAAATTTGTTTATTTCAATTGGTAATAGGTATTTACGTGTTCAGAGCTGTTAAGAAGGCCATAACGACCTAGCGAGTTATGGTCATTAACAGCACATGGTACGTACGTTTTTCGTCGTATTAAATTACCATATTAAAAATAATAATTTTCAAATTCTGAAAATGTCAATATTTGAAACTATCACAGAATCTGGCATTAGAAAGCGGGCTGTTAAAACCTCTTAACAGTCATGTGTGTTACTTGGGTATTATTGACAACTTAACGATTGTAAATTGATGTATTGTCGTATCAACAAGAAATTACTCCCTAGAATTTAGGGATATTTGTGAGTAGGTTGCCATAAATTTGTTTAGGTTGGTTTCTGATGACAAACAAAAATATCGTAACTAGTGTCAAAATTTAGGTTAAGTCACCTTAGAGTTGACAGAAAACGTCAACCGACAACAACAAGGGGTAACCAACCTTAGGCATACAAAACTACTTCTGAAAATTCTAGTTACAAACAACATGAAAAACGTAATTTTTCCAAATGTTCAAATCCTAGGTGGTAATTTCGTGTTGACAAATCTGTATGTTATCCATACTGTAACAACATGAAACGATGAGAAAACGTATAGCTAACGTAAACAAAATAAAAAGGTTCAAATGTCTTTTTTTTGACATATCATTTTTTTTAACATTTTTTCCACTCTCCTGGTGCCTTGTATAATAAGTAGGTAAATAATATGTATCATAAAACTGTTCCTCAAACTTTAAGACACCTGTACATATGTAGTTATAATAGATTTAACGAACTAATAGTAGTATGTAACAGCAGTAAAGTCCAAGTAGAAAAATATTAAGAACTGCTCACATACAGTGAGCATAAAGTCGCATTCAATTAGTTCATAGTGGCCACTTCCCTGTGTACATTTGTAAAAAATGAGTTGTGTAAATCCGACTTTAAACATCCAATTGTTTTTTAGGGACATATCTATCAAAAATGACAATTCTGAAAAAGTCGGGTTAGAATACTTCAATAAAATCTACTGCGCCTGTCACAATTGTTGACACAATTTAGTTATTTCTGCTACCAACATAATCACAACCCACACACTAGAGGTGGAGGGCTAGGGGCTGCCAACTTTGCAATAAATTAAATGGCCACTATGAATTGACAGCGACTTTAGATAATAGTGTATTACAACCAAGTTGGGAAATATGTCATTACCCCGAGGCTCAGACCGAGAAGCTAAGGGTGTAATTTTTTCACAATTAAATTTTGTTTAAATAAAAAAACATCTCATTTTCTAACAAAAAAGGCAGGAAAAAAATGCGTTTTAGATATTTGCCGCCCTCGTAACGTTGGCAATCAACATAAATCACTTCCCAACCACGATATTGAATGACCTTTTCTCGATCTTTGTTTAAGTTAAAAATGTTTAGTGTTGACATTTATTAGGACAGTTTACTAACAGGCACTTTTTTGGTTTGTGGTTGTCTATTAATTTAAAACTTTGCAAAATTAAAGTTTAATCATGTAAAATAATTAATTATTGTCACTGAAATCATTATCATTTTTAATTGATACAACTAACTTGGTTTTTAAGAGACTTTCGGCACTTCACAAATACAATTTTCTACTAAAATCCCAATTAAAAATCTTCTGTTTCAATTATGGCATAGTTTAGAACCACTGTATGTAATTATTTTCAGAATCTAGGTTAAAAAAGGCTCTTTATGACGATAGCGTCAGCTTTTTTCCGAACTGGAACACCTATAGGTATAAGTTATACAGAAACTATCAAAATACTTGTCGGTTATAATATTTAAATTTAATTTAATTCTAAATTGGTGAAACGCGTTTCGATTTGTTATGATATGATCTTACCTTCGACTTGCCGTAGGGCAACAGCGTCAGATTGACAAACTGCGAAAGATTCCCCTGGAGCGACGGATACAGTTGCTGTGTGAAAAACTTGATCGAATCCGGACACAAAGCCTCGTAGTAGACTGCCACGTTCACCTGTAAAAATCGCAAAACAGTGATCAAACAACCCACAGTCACGCCATGCATAAATTCGTTTATTCTTTGAATCGATGAAAAAATTCGCATGCACTACTTTCTCCTCTCGATGATCGACACTCACCCTATGATGTTCATGGTTGTGTTGGGCACTTGCAAGGGCCATCAGACCCATTATCGTGAAGAAGAATTGTTTCATCATTGTCGTAGAGGTGTGGTGAGCGCGTCGCTTCGGTCAATCCAGGTTGGCTTCGGCTCTGCGGATGAACAAGTGAACAGAGGCTCACGGCTCTGACCCCTTATTGGTGGGAGTGTCTTAAGGCGATTCGACCGTGACGACGATGAATTTGTTACATTGTTGGCGGGATACGAATTTGAATTGCTGTTACGTCAGCATTATCGAATATTTAGGTGAGGCGATGTGAGAGACATCTGCGCCATTTTGGCAAACCTAGATTTCTCCTTTCGCCTCGACATGCTTTATTCATGAGTCTGCAATGAGGTTTGGTTTTTAATTGAAGCGGACCGAACTGTTTTCTTCCAATAAAGATGATTGAGCGATGAATCATTTATTGTTTTTAGAAATTTTATTACAAGCTTTAAAAGAAGTAAATCTTTTTAAACCGACTTCATGGTTCAAATACTGCATATGTGTACAAGTAAATGTGCATTTAAATCACCAGTACCTACTTTGTTTAAAAAATCGTTCGTAAAAAATGGAAAATTTATAGCGTTTGCTATATAGGCAACCAATAATACCGCTCAAAACCACTTTTTAAATACAGGCTGTTTGTTTCACACAACGTTAGTACAGTTGGGGACACGGAATCCTGGGCAGTCTTTTCCTGTCATTTCAAAAAATGTCAATGTAAATGCACCTTTACTGTCATTATAATTGATATTAAAAAACCTTTCAAATTAACTTTGACATACATTATCAATTTTTACAAAATGCCAGTTGTATCAGTTTTTAATAAATCTCGAGCAATAGCTTTTATTCAAAGTGGGATATCGCAGCGGCAAGTCTCGGTGACTTTGGGGATTTCAAAAACTTCGACTTTATCAGTATCAAAAAGACAAATATGCCAAACATTAAAAGCTTGATTATGAGTACCTAAGGTATAGTTTAGAAATAGAACAAGCGAATGAAACATCTGTCCAGTTTTCCGTGTCCCCCACTGTACGCATCCAAATATACAAAAGTCACAAAACACTGGATACAAAAAATTTACATTTAATTATTTAATTTTTGGAAACCTATGACAGTAGTTGTCAAACTAATCACTGTTTTATTAATACACTGGCGGACACGGAATTTTGGACATCAAATTTATGTCATTTCAAAAAATGTCAATGTAAGCCACGCTTTATTGTCATTATAATTGACGTTTGAAACTAAAATTTTAAAGTTTTAGTTGAAATTTATTTTTGGCGTCAATTTTCCGAAACAATAATGCCAGCAATACGTGTTTTTATATACAGGGTGTTTCACATAACTTTACGAGGCTTGCGCCTAATGTACGCACCCAAATATTAATTTTTGGAAACCCATGACAGTAGTTGTCAAACTAATCACTGTTTCATTAATAATCATAAACTGCAGTTTTCCAGAAACAATTATCATTTGTTCGGGCATGAATATGATTCTAGTTTACCTATCTAGAGACGGCATGAATATGATTCTAGTTTATCTATTATTCACTAACTAACTAAAAACGTTGTAATTTTTGAAATAGTGAACAAACTAGAGAAGATAATCCAATTTTTCAAAATTTGTAATCAAGTTCGTATCGGAATATGTATTATTGATTGCATCTTACAGGCGCAGGTCTCGTAGACTTAACTTGCCTAATTTGTATAACCGCAACTGCTGGCACAAATTTTGTCCATACTAAATTAAATCTCTAAATCTTAATCCCCTTAAAATTTAAGTTCAATAAATTGTTTTGATTTGTTGTTATTTTTTCTCTAGGTATCAGGTCAAAGATTACAAAAACCGAAAGTGAGGTTAGTTGCCTAAGGCCCGTTTTACATTTTTATGTCAGTCGAATGACAAATCGTCCAAAATTCCGTCTCCGCCAGTGTAGTCATAAACTGCAGTTTTTCCGAAACAATTATCATTTGTTCTATCAAGAGACGGCATAAATATGATTCTAGTTTATCTATAGTAATCACTAGAGATTATTCCATATGTGGTGGCGAACTGACAGTGACAAAAAAGACACTTGGAGTGCGCCCACTTGGTTAAGATAAAAGAATACATGGGCGTACTTTTTTTCTCTAAAAATTTTGAAAACAAAGATTGTTAGGAATATCATTTTTGAAAATTCTTTTCATGCGTTAACAATTTAATAATTTGTTCATCATTCTTCATCTTATGTACGAGTACCTACTTATTATATTTTTTTAAAGAATAACAGTGGTTTTGAAGTACCTACTATTTCATACGACGCCTATGAACAATATTTCTTTTAATAGTAAACATATGTTTAGCGTCAAAATTCAGTCCTTTTTGACAACGTCAGTTCGCCACTAGATTTGGAATAAGCTCTAAGAAGAAACGTTGTAATTTTTAAAGGGTGAACAAACTAGAGAAGATTATATAATTTTTTTAAATTTGTAATCGAGTTCGAATCGGAATATGTATTATTAATTGCATCTTACAGGCGCAGGCCACGTAAAATTATGTGAAACATCCTGTATTTGATTTTAATTAATTAAAATTAGTGACCGGGTCACACTTTTAACTTTCACACAACTTTGAATTTGGTAAAACTTACTTAAGTGTTTAGCAATGACAAAAAGACCGAAATAATTCTCACTTATGGAGAATATTTTAAAAAATGATTCATAAGCCGCAGTGCGATATTCAAATAGACGGGCTCCGAGTATAGCCATAATCAAAAATAAAAATACAACCACTACAGAGACAACTTGTATTTATTTCACGCTAACGTGTACAAAAATAAATTTATGTTTTGCACTATAGGCAACCAACCATGCACTTTTGTATACAATTTGCCAACTTTTCAACACTTGACACAAATCACATAACCTATTAAATTTCAAGACAAAATGTTCCAGTTACCAACAATAACGAGAATCTGTCGTAGTTTTTGCACTCAAGCCAATGCAAATCTACCAATTTCTGCAAATTTCGTCAACCGAAATCCACGAAACTTGGAACGAATGAGAATTGGTTACAAACCGGACGGTTATCACGTCGAAAAACCTGGCCGTTGCTTCTGGCACAAGTAAGTGCCCCCTTCATTCAAACCTATTCTCAACGTTTTTAATTTCAGATTGAATTTACGAAAAACCGGTCGTTATGTCTATGCAACCATTGACCACTTTGAAAATGGTACAGTTGTGAAAGCTAGCACCTCTGAATGGGCCCTCAAGAAACAATTATACAAGTGTAGAGACACTTCCGCGTATTACAATTTAGGCCGTGTGTTAGCTGAACGCTGTCTCAAGTTCGGTTTAATTGAAATACGTTGTGATATCGTCCCACCAAAACCCGACGGGAGAGTGGCTCATTTCTTGCAAGCGTTACAAGAAGGGGGCGTTTCATTACAAGAGCCGCCCCAGTTTAAGCCGGCGAGGCCGTGGGATCAATTTAGGTTTGAAAAACCATGGGAAGTAACTGAATAACTACAATTTATTTAATAAATATTTACAATTTATTTTTCGTAATTGTGTTTGATGTGCTTCCATAGTTTCTGTAAGAAAATTCGGGTTAAATTTGGGGGGTAAACCGTGTTATGTAACATACCCCTTCGTTGACCTTTTCAAACAGGTAGTCCGAGCCCAAGTCGAACGTTCGTTCAAAGAAAAACGTGGCGCAGACACATGCTAAAGCAAAAGTTGAGGTTCTTTTGAAAACGGCGTTGTAAATTGTGCTTGAAAAGCCTGCCATTGTGGAATTATTTACAATCGTGCTCGAGAATGATTGACTTTAGCCCCGACTGAAACGTCAGTGTGCTACCAACATTGCGGTTGTAGCGACAAATGTCCCTAGTTTCACAAGTACAAATTTCAAATCTCTCGAATGAAAATAATATTTTTTTCATTATTGTTTTTTACATTCAAGGTTCTATCTTGCTATGAAATTATTGAAAATGTTGCAAAAAGTTAACAACTTGGAAATGAGATTGTTTATTATTTTATTTTGCCTTGTGCAAAAAGTTAGTTTTTTTTAATTAAAAACTTACAATTAGAGTATTTAACTAACCTCTACACCTTTTTCAAGTGTAATTCAGAAGCCATCACATGTAATTCAGATTAGTTAATTTAGTTTCAGAAAGCGTAAATTGTAATTTAGATTAGTCATTTAATTGTCTTTCAGAAAGTGTTAATTGTAATTAAGAAGAGTAAAATGAGTTTCAGAAACTATGAGATGTAATTCAGATTAGTTAATTTAATTTCAGAAAGCATAAATTGGAATTCAGATTAATTAATTGTATTTCAGAAAGTATTAATTGTAACTCAGAAACCATTACCTATTCATTCAGAACAGTAAATTCAATTTCATGTTACATGTAGTCCAGAAAATATCAATTGCAATTCAGATGAGTAACTTACTGTTATCTCAAAATAAAGTTTACACATA